CAGCCCCGCCCAGTCCGGGGCCGTGTGCTGGCAGGGCGCCTATATAAGACACTGCGAAATTCGAAATCAATTGTGAGACAGTCACCACCAGAATCGATAGCTCCACCGTCGTGGGCTCCATAGCAGGTTGATGCAGGGACGGTGACGCGCTAGATCATAGTGAGGGTAGACTTGTGCTGCATCTACTTCTTTTTCTCGCCACTCCCCAATGGGGCCCGGTATCAAGAGAGCGTCAAGAAGACCAGAGATAGGCGAGGACGCACCACCATAATAACCACACTTAACACAATCCCCAACTCCAGGAAAACCGTGTGGACTTACCTCTGGCACTGGACGACAAGACTTCACCCTGCTAACAACATCCGACATGTTCATGCTCTGCGGATAAAGCTGGTAGACTTGCTTGTCCACAGGCAGACGCCAGATTTGATCCTCGATCTCAGCCATATTTTCAAAGGAGAGCAGGCGTGGATGACTGTCATATTTTACCACGTTGATGCTGGAAACACGGTCGAACTCGGTTGTTGCGGTGGTTGGATCCACAAGTATGTTCAACAGAAGGCGGTAACTTCCGTTAACCTTGGCCCGAATAGGAGCGTACCAGTCGCTTGCGCAGACTGCCACCCGGACATACTCACCAAGCAATGGGGAGAAACTCCACGTTGCACTGTGCTGCTTCGCCTGGGACGGCCAGTACAGGAAATAAAGGATAAAGAAGCCGAGGGCAAGGAAGGTGAGAAGGGGATAGTTTTTCAATCTTCGAGGTAGGGCCAGTTGCCAACGCATAGATAAGCATTTTGGCAAAGTCATCTGCGTGGATGTCGGAAACGATAGCTCAGTTCTGACTCCCGTTTGCAGGTTCTGTTTTCCTCCAATCAGGGCTCGTCGGCGGCAGCGCGATAATGAAACCTTGGGCAATCGGTCGAAGATCCCTATTGGGTAAAAAAGAGTTGTGAAATTTGGTTTCTAGGCGACGATTTCTCACAAAAACACACGGCTAACACGGACGCCTGCAAACCTAGTGCGAATCTGATTGAATTTGTGCGAATATAAAACTAAACGCTGAGCCCTGCAGAATTTTCTGCTGTTTGATGCAGTAGTAGTCTGATACAGTAGTGAGTTTAACCTCTTCGTAAAACAGTGGCCACTGGACAATACACCATCAGTATTTTTAAGCAGCCTTGGTAGTGTATCTGACTGTTGTTTAATAGGGCAGCAAAATGGCGGCGGGAATGCGACCTCAGACCTCAATGTATACCCCGGGTTGGGTTAGCATTCTGCGTGGTTAAATACATTAGCTATTGATTAGAACAGAAGCATTAAATGCTAATGAGTAATTGGAAAAAAAGAAACGTTATTTGTGTAGTAATCAAATAAACTGATAGCTAATTTTGCAAACATTCCCATTTTTAACTTGGAAAGCTTATTTGGCAAATATGCATATTCGGCAATTCGCCATCGGGTCGGTACAATTGCATAGATAATGAAAATAGTACTGTTGGACAGGGTTAATAAGTTGTTATAACCGAGTGTGTCCCTGTGTCAACACCGGTGATGTCCCCCAGTTACGTGTTAGGAAGAGAAGGCAGAACAGGATAGCAGATAGTACTTTACTGTTACTAGTTCTGCTTGTACATCAGCGTTGTCTTCTGTTGTCGGTAGCTCGTCTCGGCCAACAACACGTCTTGTCACTAGCAGCAGAATATCGGGTCGCCGGCAGCGTCTCCAGCACCAGAGTGGCGTTCTACTCGCAGTCTCGCTATTTAAGGGCCAGTAGTCATTGCTCCCCATTGGCTCTCCGCGAGTGGCCGTGCGAGCGCTTGCTTACGCGCGCGTGTGCATTTGTCCTCAGCGTGACCCCCAGACAACAGCAACCCGGACCTGGAGCAGTCTCGTTGACGCGTGCCTCATTTGTCCTGGCCTAATGTCTGCCCTTTGAAGGTCGCTTGTAACTGCATGAACCGGT